ATTTTACAACTTTCCTCTTAGCATCAGAGTCCAAATGCAATTTCAGGGCCACCAACCCTGCTCTGAATTGTGACCTCTTGAGCTTGGAACAAGTTGCAGATTCTCTTAATATTCATCAGCAGAGTTGCGACTTAGTCACTGAGCCATCCTTGCCCTAGAGGCAGGCAACTTTTCGGCCAGCATGACAGTGGCCATCTCTGGTGAGGGAAGATTAGTGAAAGCGTCATTGACAATTGATGCAGTCTCAGTAAACTCCAGGGCCAAACAACCCTCCCCTGGAATTTGGTAGCATATCATATCATCAAGCGTGACTCAGTCAGATTAGCCTTATGTACATGAGGAATATGTGAGAATGACTGTATGTGTTCAAGGTAGTGCGCGTGCTTCAACTCCTGCCATTTTCCTGATAATCAAACATTGCATATTTGAATTGTTTCTTTTTTAACAGTGTATTGTCTTGACATCTTCTTGTAATAATAATATTATTAATAATATTGATCACGAAAAGCAAAATATTATCAATGAAAATCTTGTAATTACCCAGCAAGATCTGCTCCATGTTTGATTCCAATTAAATGTTTATATAAAATAAAAAATATCAATCAATACAAGTAAAAAAAAGTACCTCTATTATTAACACATCTTCTTTAGTAGACCAAACCAAACCAAACCAAACAACAACACTCACGTTTTGTCACCTTGGACTCTGTCAAAAAATAAATTGTTTTTCCAAGAAAAAAAAAAAATCAATTCACGTCTGTCCTACCAAATAAACCAATGGATAAATAATTGTGCTATGCATCGGTTTAAATCTGAAACTTCTTTTTTTTAAAATGTCGTATACAACAAATAAAAGAAGAAAACCATTAATTATAACAATAATACAATCCAAGGGTAAGTGTTTTAAGGATGGTGGTGGTGGTTATTGCCCGCCATCCATCGTCACTCTAGTTATTATTAAAAATTTGTACATTAATGTAATTTAATCTGTGATGTACTCACATCTTGCATATTTTGCTCAATTAACTACTTGTTTAGGGTTTGGTTATTGAATAATCAAAGAATAAATAAAATTTTTAATTAAATATTAGTGAAGAATTCGATGTGGATATTGATAATTTGAATAAAATAATTACAAAAAATAATGAAATTAAGGAAACTTTAATCAATAATATTAAAGCTTTGATTAATAAAATTAATGATGTAAGTTTTAATTAAGGTTTTTGTTTATTTGTACTTTTTTTTTCAACTTATTCAACTTTACATTTTTTAAAATTTATAGGATTATGATAATGATACAGTAAGTATTTAACAAACTTATCTGCTTGTTGATGTATTTTAAAAAATTCGTGTTAAAGCATCATATCATGTTGAAATTACAGAATTCTATCAAATATTCACAGTCTATTTATAGTGACAGTAATAAAAATGATGGTGATGATGGTGATGATCTCAGTTATGTTGATGGTAAAAATGATGTTGATAATCCTAATTATTTTGATATTAAAAAATTTCGGTCAAAAATAGCAAGTGTAAGTTATTTATCTAAAATTGCAAAGTTTTTTATCAATTCTACAATATGAGTAAAAATAATGGTCTATCTTTTGTAGTATATCCAAATCACCATGTTCCAAAAGAAACTTTGGTCATTTCCAAACTTATAGAATCGTATAATGAAATCAAAAAGGATCATTTGCTTGCTGAAGGTATTCTATGTCTTTCTAACTTGGAGCAAGAAAACCCAAAATTCTGCAAACAAATTTGCAAAAAAGTAGACCTATATGCATTTAATGATAATAAATATGAAATTCTATTAACAAAAAGACAAAAAAATTTGATAAAATCAATTATCATATATGATGATTATATTAATATAGATTTATGTAGGCAAAATCCTTTATTAGGATTATCAATAATCAGCTTAGTGAATCATTTCAAAAAAATATGGAAATCTGCATCATATAATAGATCAGATACAAATATCAATGAAAATACATACTTGCAGCACTTAGTCAATCCAATTATAAATTTTTTAGTTTATGATATTGATAATATTGAGTCTAGATGGTAAATATTACTCACAATTTTAATTTTAGTATTGGTTTGTTATCATTTTAATACTAATAACATAAATACTTTAGGAGTGGTTGTAGGTCGGAATCTACAAAACACAGGAACCTTGATAATATCAACTTGACAAGGTTTCCTGACATGCTTTTTTATCAAGAGAATTTTGGATATAGATTTAAGTATGAATTTCTCTTTTCCGAAGTGAGTAACGGACCATGGTTAAGAACTTCAGCATAGTGATGTTAGCCGGCTAATAATCTGCATACATAATTTCTAAATTTGGTAATAGATTTCCGTATTACCTTCTGGTTATAGAAATAGAATTACCAATTTAGGTAGTAAACGGCTTAGCCGGCTAAGGATTTTTAAACGGCTAACATCACTACTCCAGCACATTATAGCCATGTAAAGGAAGATAATTATAGATTGAATAGATTCTTAAAAGATGCCTACAAATATACCCATTCATTTTTAAAAAATAATTATGTGAAAAATATGGATGTCACTTTGGATCAGATGAAATTCATATCTATACATTTCCATGAGGAAATTATGGAAATTGATATTGTACAAAGGGACTTCCCGCCATTCTTGGTGGTTAGAAAATTTTGTATAATTGAACTTCCTCTGAAAAATTCATCAGATACAAACAGATTGGCAAATACAATTTCATTGTTATGTGAAAGATTATTAACTCTTAATTGTATTATTAAAGAAAATATATGCAAAATTAATCAGTTTAATGTTGACATAGATAAAACTTACACCACTCTACCAGATAAGGGAACTCAAATTTTAGAGATGGGCTCTGGAGGGAGTATATTTACTACACTCAACACTTAATTAAACATATATGTTATGGATTTATTATTGATTGATTAAGGATCAGTGTATTTAACACTATAATATAAAGACATAAAAAATTTTCTAATTTCGGAATAAATATTTTTTTCATTTGATATTTTTTATTATTTATTATTAATATAAATATTTATATAAGCATAAAAAATTAACATTAATATTAATATGAAATTTTTTAAATTTGATATCAAAACGGTCTTTGTTCCTTCCTTGACTTTATTAAAATGGTTTTTTGGGAGCACAAGAGCAAAATCAAAAGGTAAACATTGTAGTGAACAATTTTTATTGTGTTAGCAATTCTTCAAATGATTTGACATCCAATTTAAAACATATTTTTTTAATTGTTGTTTTTGCTAAAAAAAAAATATGCATACTCTTCCAAATAAACAATATAATGCTTATAATTAAAGAAGTTATTGTTATAGTTGTGCATGCGAAGCATGCCATGAATGATTACAATTTTTTTGTTGTAAAAAAAATTTATTTTAGTATGTATGTATAACAAAATACAAAATTAATATTGGTGTATCAGTATACAGCACAATGAAGTTGCCAGAAATCAAAACCACTAAAAAGAATTAAATAAAACGTTTTGTAAGAAAGTTTGGCCAATCTTATTGCTTCCCTGTGACCTAGCCATTTTTCATCTTCACAATGTTAATATTGTCACCGATTAAATTTGGGAGAGCTTATTTTAATTGGTGATAACAATTATTTTTGTTTTGCGTGGATCAGAATGAA